AAACACACTCATGAAATGGCCCTGAAATTAGCATGTCTCTCATCAAACAATACGTAAACATCTAAGGAATATGGGAAACTCCGGTGAGGAAAATGGATTCTCTATGCGAATATTAAACACCAAAAAACAATAGCTCAGTCCTAGACAAAAAACACTTCCGACCCCAAAACCTGGACTCCATCCGCAGAAAGTGATGCATTGCATTTGGTAGGACATCACAGGAGTAATTCATTTCGAACTCCTCAATCCATAGCAAACTATCAACGCAGAGATCTATGTCAGCAACTGGAACGTTTAAATCAAGCCCTTCACTCGTCAGTCGAAAAGGTGCTCTTCTTCTCCACGACAATGTGCGTCCATATGTGGCACGTTTGACGCAACACAAGATTATAGAGTTGGGTTGGGAAATTCTCCCCCACCCACCATATTCTCCATTTATGGCACCAATGGATTACCATATTTTTCGTTCGCTGAAACACCATCTTAAGAGGAAAACGTATGCAAATGTGGAAGGTGTTAAAGAGAACATTGAAATGTCTTTTGCTTGAAAGCCAAGTGATTTCCTTAATCATGGAATTAACAACCTGATTGTGAGATGGAAAAGCATCATCGATAAGAATGGAGAATATTTCATTGAATAAATGTTTTGTTTTGATATACAAGTTGTTTAGATTTTTTCATCTAAAAAAGCGACAATAATTTCTTGACTACCTAATATATTATGTGTGTTTTATTTAAGCTGAACGAGGATTCCATGTCTTCATGTTGTTGTAGCTCGAATAGTGGCTACTGTAGGTTGATCCACCAATGCATGTCACCACGGTCACATTGGTTAAAGTATATGTGCATGATGGCCTTGCCTTGGCCTTCATCTGTATAGAATAGATTACTGGTGAATTTTGTTCTTGTGCCAGCTTGTGGAAATTCCAGAATGAAGAGATTGTATGATTAGCATTTCTACACAGCTCATTCCATTTCATATCTCGTGCTTTAGTAGATGATCACTATAAAGATTACAGGGTCTATTCCGTGAATACTTGCCTCTTCTGCTCGTCTTGTCTATGCTTTATCTGAATGAACTCAGCCTAGAATTAATTCCATGCTTTCCAAGCTTTATAAGCATCACTGTTCCACCAGTGTTGGATGCTTCTTTTGCACGATGGTATATAGGTGCTTGAGAGTACTAGTATTGTCAAATATCTGGACATCCTTGTATAGGTTTCTAGATCGTTTTATATCACTATTTCTCCCAGTCTTCACACACTTCACATCGAGTTGATCACTGCCGTCATAATGTCCCCTATACCAGGTAGAGATGACAATCATGGTCTATACAAGAGTCTCTGTCACTTTGGCTCTTTGTAGTTCCCTTGATTTTAGCAGTATAATGTTGGTGGTTATACTGTAGAGATTAGAGTATAAACCTTTGCCAATAGTGTTTTCACTTGGATCCCAGAGGGCGTGTCTAGCATTAGAGTATTTTACTGGTAGATACATAGGGGTGTTAGGATAGAGGTCAAGCAGGAACCTCCAATCTTCAGCATGATGTGCTGTCTTACCTTTCATTTACACATTAGTTATTTGGGTGTGTATGGGTAACTTCTGGTGAACTATCTGGATGGCTTGTAGCTTGCAATGGTGATTATTCCCAGAAAGTTGTCATAATGTTTCGTTTACTAGCTGGTGCGTGAACCTCAGTTTCCACACTTCTTCTGCTTGTGCTTCTGTGTTGAATGCAATACCTCCATTGATCTCGTATCTGCAGATCACTGGCAATCTCCTTAATAATATTTGATGTATACATATATATTAGGCAATCACCCAGTCACCTTAATATTCTTACCTATCAGTCATTATTCTGAGGAAGCTATTGCACCATGAGGAAAAAAAAGCAAAATGTTATCAAGTTATGTTATAAATTGGTTTGGCAACAATTTGTGAGAAATAAATGCATTTTTACGTGTGTCTAAGTCCCAAAGGAAATGCGAATAAAAAAATTTTGTTCACTACTATAAACCGAAAACATCTGGAATAAAGGTCAACCCTTGTGAAACCTGTGTTTTAACCGATTGTATTCAGGTGTGTTGTCTGGTTGCTGCCTCCAAACTGTTTATTTAGTTGCGAACCTGAGATCAGTGGTTTCTTCGAGCTCACATTGTCAAATATTTGTCGTAATTTGGGGTTATCATCAGTGTTCAACCCTGTTTAGATCTGCCGTCAGCTGGATTGGTGGTCTGAAAGCAAGACCATATCCTGCTAAGCACACTTTGAGACTTGTAGCCATTGTATGTCTTTTTTTAACACTCAGTTTGTGAGTCAATGAGACCGTATTCGGGAGATTGGATGTGCAAAAGAGGGTGTCACGGCTACCGGTATGCAAGTTAAAAAAAATCTGATCAAGGTCTTAATTTGTTAACCTAAAAAAACACAATCTACTGCCAAATGAACTCGCCTGTCAATAGCGTGTGACCATGAAGATGCGGAATTTATGGGTATTGGCCGGACTGTTT